TAGCCTTCTGATGAAACCTTTTCTTCTATTCTTTTAGTATAGTTTTAATGCAATATATATCAGAAAATAATAAATCAAGTTGTCTTAAACATGGAGTCAAATCCTCGTCTCTTCCCTCATCCTCAGACCCCTGTGAACACCACCACACATCCTCACGTTGCAGCATCCTCACCAGGAACAGAAAATAACCTCCCTGTTTTCACACTCTTGCAGAGCCCCCAGGAAAACAAAGAAGCTGCTGAGTGCTGACCAGAGGTTTTCATCTGAGTTACCATCTCTCCAGAGCTTCTGCTGCTGGCCCAGACTGCTGAAACCCAGGAAGCTCCATCCCACTGGGAAACTACTGGCAAGGTCTGAGACTGGGAGTAAAAAACCAACCAAACCAATGTAAAAAAATAACCAAAATGAAAATAAAATAAAAACCAAATGACAGGTTTTTATGCAAAACCCCAGCAATATGATGTGGGGTAGGCTGTGTGGAGTGGATGATTTTCCTCTCTGGGGTGTTTATCCCAAATCTGTGGCTGTAAATCCCTCCAGGCTGGGTGGGTGCCAGAGCTCTAGGGAGCCCTGAGGGCACAGCCCAGGCCAGGGTGGGACATGGGCAGTGCCAGGGTGCTCAGAGTAGGCTGAGGGAGCTGGGATTTCAATCCCAGAAGGGTGAGCTGGCTCCTGTCCCCCACGTGTGTCCCTGGAGCTCTGAACCCTCCCACGGCACCAGCAGCAGCAGGAGCTGCTCCCACGCAGGAATGTGGGATCCATCCTCCCTCCATGGGGGCTCAGTGCCCTGTGCCCTCCCAGTGAACCCCTCAGAGCTGCTGGTGGTTAATTCCACACAGAATTGAAAGCTGCTGCCTCAGAACCAACCATCCAACCTTCTCCTACCTAAACTGGGATGGGATCAGCCCTGCCTTGTGCCTCACCAAATCCTGAAGAGCCAGGCTTCACCCCTGGATAATTCTGAGAGCAGAGGAACTGCCCATGGCTTGGGGAACACACACTGGAATGGCTCCAGAGCTCCCAGACAGCAGGCAGGGATGCATGGCTGGTGGTTAATTCCACACAGAATTACAAGCTGCTACCTCAGAACCAACCATCCAACCTCCTCCTACCTAACCTGGCATGAGACCAGCCCTGCTTTTTGCCTCACCACAGGGAATTCTACATCGTGAAGAGCCAGGATTCACCCCTGGACCATCCTGAGAGCAGAGGAACTGCCCATGGCTTGGGGAACACACACTGGAATGGCTCCAGAGCCCTCAGGGGTACATGGCCGAGGGGAATGCCATGGAAGAGCCACGAATGCCCATCCTGCCCAGCCTGGGCATGGCACACACGTGGCTCTGCTGCTTTGGTATCCATGGTGCTTTGGCATGGCTCACGTCTTTGTCTTCTGCCCAAAATAGATGAGCTCTTAAATATTACTCAGCACTTGGAGTTCTGCCACAGCACAGTTGAGAAAACACCAAAAATGTGTCTCCCAGTGCAGAGAAATATTGAGAGAAACTTCATTGGCTTCGTGCAGTGCAAGGCAGAACCCCCTGCACAGGGCAGGGTGAGGTTAACAAGGGCTGGAACTGGGAAAGGACAGAACCTGCTCATCTCAGTGGGAATAGGAGAAAACAGGACAGAACCTGCTCAATAGGAATAGGACAAAGAGCACAGAACCTGCTCATCTCAGTGGGAATAGGAGAAAGAGCACAGAACCTGCTCATGTAAATAGGAATAGGAGAAAACAGGACAGAACCCACTCATTTAAATTGGAATAGGATAAAATAGCATAGAACCCACTCATCTGAATGGGAATAGGACAAAAGAGCACAGAACCCACTCATGTAAATAGGAATAGGAGAAAAGAGCTCAGAACCTGCTCACCTAAAGAGGAATAGGAGAAAACAGGACAGAACCTGCTCAATAGGAATAGGACAAAGAGCACAGAACCTGCTCATCTAAACAGGAATAGGACAAAGAGCACAGAACATGCTTATCTAAATAGGAATAAGAGAAAACAGCACAGAACCCACTCATCTAAATGGGAACAGTACAAAAGAGCACAGAACCTGCTCAGATAAATGAGAATAGGACAAAAGAACATAGAACCTGTTCATTTCAATGGGAATCGGGGAAAAGATCACAGACTCCACTCATCTAAATAGGAATAGGAGAAAACAGGAGAGAACCTGCTCAGATAAACAAGAATAGGACAAAAGAACACAGAACCTGCTCACCTAAATAGGAATAGGACAAAAGAGCACAAAACCCACTCATCTAGAGTCCTGGCTGAAGCTCTCTTACAGGTATTGGGTGGTGACTTCAAACTGAACTCAGGAAATCTGTCACAGATTTCCCCAACTCAAATCTGTCAAATATTTCCCCAAATCCAAGCATTTCAGGCACAATCCCAATGGCAGAACCCCTCAGTTCCCACGTGCCCCCTGTCACAGCACAGACGGACAATCAGCTCATGTCACAGACACAGACAAAGCCACACGTGAGCACAAGCAGGTCCTGCAGCAGGTGTGAGGTGTTTGTCACTCTCATCACCCATCCGTGGGGGAATTTGCCATTAAGAAACTGGAAATGAACATTACAGCACTGTTCAAAACCCAGGTGGATTTATAGGCAGCTGAAAGGTAAATTCTAAGGCCAGTCCATTCTGATGTCCATAAACAGCCCAATATCCATTTCTTGAGAGAACAAAGCCTTTTTTCTGTTTGGAACGTCCCCTGTCTGAGGGCTGTGGTGGATGACCAGGCTGCATTCCCAGTGCCCACTGTCCCTCTTGCCAGGGACGGGAAATGTGCTCTGGAAAAGGTGTGGAAACCCCAGGTTCACCTACAGGAGAGCAGAGCCTTTGCAGCTGGAGGAGCAGAGGAGGTTTTGTTCTCACCTGGGAGGAAATGGGAGCAGCCTTTTTGTCCAGCAAGCTGCTGGGAGGTGCCTCAGGGGTGTGAGGTGAGGATAACTGACCTGCCTGAGACTGAAGGCTGGGTTTGCAGCCCTGCTCAGGGATCTCGAGGGCTTGCTGGAGCCCATCAGGACACCCCAGCCCATGGACCATCACTCCTGGGGTACCTTTGCTACCTGACCCTAAAAACACTCCTGATGTGGCAGGATGTGACCATAAAACCCCTTTGAGATGGGGACACCTTGTGTGAAATGTCACCCCTGGCTCCTCCCTGGAACCAGTGCAGCTCCCAGCCCACCTGAGGTTCCTCTGCTTCCCTTCCCTTGGTGCAGAGCTGGACTGGGACTGCAGGAATGAGATTATAAATCTGGGATTGCAGGGATGGGAGAACAAATCTGGATTGTGGGGATTGCATTACAAATGTGGGATTGCAGGAATGGGATAACAAATCTGGGATTGTAGGGATGGGATAACAGATCCGGGATTGCAGGGATTGGAAAACTGGAGTTTCAGGTTATTGGGCTATAGCACTGGAATTGAGGGTGTTGGATTACAAAACGAATTTCAGGGTATTGGATTGAAGGGATGGGATTGCAAATCTGGGATCGTATGGATTGGGTTACAAATCTGGGATTGAAGGGATGAGATTACAAATTTGGGATTGTAGGATATTGGATTACATATCTGAAATTTCAGGGTGTTGTAGTACAAAACTGGAATTTCAGGGTATTTGATTACAGAACTGGGATTTCAGGGTATTGGATCACATATATGGAATCTCAGGGTATAGGATTACAGGATATGGGATTACAGGACTGGGATTTCAGGGTTTTGGATCACAAATCTCGGATTACAGGGTATTGGATTACAGGACTGGGATTGTAGGGTATTGGATCACATATATGGAATTTCAGGGTATTGGATTACAGGATATGAGATTACAGGACTGGGATTTCAGGGTTTTGGATCACAAATCTGGGATTACAGGGTATTGGATTACAAATCTGGGATTGCAGGATATTGGATTACAAGTCCCACGGGTGCTGCCTCAGCCTCAGTAAACTTTATTTAAGCACACACAGACATACACAGACAATATACATATATTTGTTTCTTCTCTGACAGTTCTACAGGACCGACACTACTTTGGATGACACTCGTGGAGAACTTGAAAAAGTGCAGGAAATGTAGGAAAAAAATAAATTAAAAAAATTAAAATATCAAGGTCTTTTAATCATTTGTGAGTCACGGTCATCCACAGAAACAACACAGGAGCGTTCAACCAGGCGAGCACGAGGACACAGTACATTGGTGAGAGAGGAATCTCCACATACATCGTGTCTGCAGGGGGTACAGCAGTCTTGGGGACACAGAAGGGGACAGGAATGGCACATGCACCCCCCGTGTCACAGCCAGGCCACCGGTGGCACTGGGGACAGGAGGACACTCTGAGCACGTCTCACTGTACACCAGAACAACTCACCAAAAGCATCATCAGTGAACACTGCCTGGGGGTCGTGGTGGCACCAGGACACGGCTCTGGTGGCACCAGGACCCCCTGGGTGTTCGGTTATTTGTGTTAAAGCTGTGTCTCCACAGATATTTATATACAGTACATGTACACAGAACATACACACAGCAGCACATGTCGGTTTTTGTGGTTTCCTGGTTTGTACATTATATCACAGATTATAGGAACACAGAAAATATAGGAGCTAAAAAGAAATAATTTTATAAAATATTCCTCATAACCCCCCCCCTCCCCACCATTTAAATAAATAAATAACTAAAAGAAAAGCCCAGATGTGAAAGAAAGGAGCTCCAGCCCCACAGTCTGGAAGTGGTCCCTGCCTGCCATGGGCCAGATGGACATTGCTGCCCTCCCTGTGGGAGCAGCCAGGAACACCCAGAGCTGCAGGAGGCACTGCCCAGCCGTACAGGGGGAGCCTGTACCGCCCTGCCAGGACCCGCAGGTCCTGCCCAGCCCAGCCCGAGCCTGCCCCGCTCCAGCTGCGGGCACCCGGCTCCGAGTTCGGATCGCAAACAATCGTTTCATTGCATTGGATTTAGCAAAAAATGGTTTCCACTGTACCCTTCGTGTGTCCTCTTCCTAACGTGACAAAGCCGGAGGAGATGAAATTATGGAGATCTGGCCCTCCACTGCGATAAATATCCTTCCCATAGTGACCTGCAGGGAAAAGGAAACACACACGCC